CGAAGCCCAGCTGGGGATGTGTTTCAGTGGTTGAGTCCAATACTTGGAACAAAAAAAAAAAAAAAAAAAAGGCAAAAGGAAAAGGGACTGAATGTGTCCTGTATGATTTTTTTTTTTTTTTTGGTCTGTTTTTGCTCTGCTGGGGTTTGTTGGCACCCAGGGCCTTTCGAGGGCCCATTCTAGGCAAACCCTCTACTGCTGAGCTGTTCCCCTAACACTGCCCCCCAGCTTTTTTTTGACGAATTATTTGCCTTTCCTTTCCGAAAGTCCCTTGGCTAATTCTCCCCTCTCACATATTCAGAGGTTTGGACGCCAAGTAACCAAATCCAAGACACGTATCTTTGGCAGTGATAAAGCCACCAGTCATGATGCTGCCACCTTCTGTCATACCTAGGGACCTATCTCTAGCTGCTTCTTTTTTTTTTTTTTTGTGGTGCTGGGGATTGAACTCAGGGCCTTGTGCATGCAAAGCAAGCACTCTACCTACTGAGCTGTATCCCCAGCCCTCTTGCCACTATCTTTATCCAAGAAATGCTTTCCCTGGATTTCCCTTGGTGCTCCCCAAAGTCACCTTCTCAGAGGGGCTTTCCCTGGATTGAATTAGTTCTCCTCCTACCTCCACCGCCTCTCAACCTCAGACCTGCTTGACTGTCTTCTAGGAAAAGGTATTACCTGTCCTTTCCTCTAGATTGTAGGTTCCCTGTCCCCATGTTCCAGAAATCCCCCAGACCAGCGCAGTCCCACTTAGCAAAGCACTTGCACCCCACTCCACGCTGGCTTGGGTCACAGGGCGCAGGGATCCCCTAAGGCAGATGACTCTGAAACGCCACGGCGCTGGCCTCTCCCTGGTGGCAAAGGGGCGCCACTGCTCTTCCCAGGCACAAACTCCTGCACCACATAGTACTGGGTGTGCTTTACTCCTTACTCTGGAGGGCAGGAACAGATCAAGCAAGAGGGCGTGGTCATGGGATAGGCAGAGGCTTGGGCCAGGAAGTMGGGTGGTGAGGGGGTCTGAAGGGAGATGCCAGTGGGAGGGTTGAGCATATTCCAGGTTAGGGGCTTGAAGTGTGGTGGGYGGGTCCTACGTGCTGACCATCACCCCTTGATCTACAAATCGGTGAGGTTGCCTCGGATCGCCTGCGCATCCTCCAAAGCCTTGAACAGTGAGTTGAAGTTGCCTGCTCCAAAACCCTGGAATGGGAGACAGCAGATGAGCTGGGGACCCAGAAAGCAGATGATGCTCCCTACAGGCCTGGCTCAGGGCCTACCTGGTGGTTGTGGCGCTGGATGACTTCCAGGAAGAGTGTAGGCCTGTCCTGCATAGGTTTGGTGAAGATCTGAAGGATGTAGCCTTTCTCGGCATAATCCATCAGGATTTGCAGCTCCTGGGCGAGAGACAGGGAACTCCATTAGCAGAAAAGCTAGCCTGTGCTTCTAGCCTGGCACGGTGGGATCCTTAGAAAGTCCAGGGGACCCCTGTGCCCCCAGCACCAAGAAAAAATATTTTTCCAGCAATTCCTGCCTTCCCCCCAAATATATCCCCAAACTGTTGTGTTACCACCCTTCTGCTGCAGCCCTTGCTAAGTAATCATCCAGCCAGACCTGCTGCTGGGCTTGCCTCCTTACACTCCATTCTCCCTGCAGTCCTCAGATTAGATTGTTTCACTCATCTGTTTAAAATGAGGCCCTGGCTTCAGTCCCCACTACCCATTTCAAAAACCAAAAACCTTCCCGTGGAAATGGGAGCCCTTGCCTATTGCTGCTGGGAATGTAAAATGGTACACCTACTTTGGAACAGAGCCTGACTCTTTCTCAAAAGGTTAAACATAAAGAGCCTGTGACCCAGCAGCGCCACTCCCAGGCATAACTGAAGGGAAATGAGAACATACATCCACACAATACCTTGCACATGAGTGTTCATAGCAGAGTCATTCCTAATTGCCACAAAATAAAATTATTATTTTTTTTTTAAAGAGAGAGTGAGAGAGGAGAGAGAGAGAGAGAGAGAGAGAGAGAGAGAGTTTTTAATATTTATTTTTTAGTTCTCGGCAGACACAACATCTTTGTTGGTATGTGGTGCTGAGGATCGAACCCGGGCCGCACGCACGCCAGGCGAGCGCGCTACCGCTTGAGCCACATCCCCAGCCCACAAAATAAAATTATATTATTCTCTTATGTGCATATGTGAATATGTAAACTTGAATTGCATTATTTTTAATTTTATTTTTTAGATGTTGATGGACCTTTATTTTATTCATTTATTTATATATAGTGCTGAGAATCAAACCCAGGGCCTCATACATGCTAGGCATGTGCTCTAACTACTGAGCCACAATTCCAGCCCCRTGAATTGCTATTGTATAATTAGAATGTGCCAATAAAAAATCATGGACTGAACTACCTAATTTATGAAAATAATAATAGCCCCAAGTTAGAAATAACCCAAATATCCACCAACTGATGAATGGATAAGCAAAATGTGGTCCATCARTGCAATGGGATACTATTCAACCAAAAAAAGGAATGAAGTAGAGCTGGGGGTGTAGCTTAGTATGCTTGAGGTCCTGGGGTCAATGCTCAGCACTATACACTCAAAAAGGAATGAAGTACTGACATAGGCTAAAAGTAGATAAACCTTGAAAACATTATGCAAGTGGAAAAGAAAACCAGTCATGCTGGGTATCCTAGTGCAGCTTCTTGGGAGACTGAAGCAGGAGGATCACAAATTCAAAGCTAGCCTCAGTGACTTACAGTGACTTTGTCTCAAAAGATAAAAAAGGCTGGGGATGTGGCTCAATGGTTCATTCCCTGGAATCAAAACAAACAAACCCTAGTCATAACAGACCACATGCTGTATCATTTTATTTATGTGAAATTCCAGACTAGGTAAATCTGCAAGACCAAAGGTAGTTTAGTGGTTGCCTAGGGTTAGGGTGGGATGGGAGGTAATGACTAAGAGGATCAAGGTTTCTTTCCAGGGTGCTGAAGATATTCTAAAATTGATGTTGACTTTGATTTTAGCAAATAGCGAGAGATAACCATTAGCTGTTAAAAGGTAAAACCAAAAAACCTTCAATGCTTTGTGGCTAAAGAAGTACAAAACCCCATCTTAAGAGCCTCCAAGWGGAACCGGCCCCCACCTACCTGCTTTGGTACACCTCTTCTCAGATGCTGTCTTTAATCCACATGAGCCTTCCTCCTGCTCCTCAAGCACTTGGAGCTTGCTCCCACCCCATCACCTTTGCACCTGCTCTTCCCTCTGCTGGGATGCTCTTCCTAGCACTCCTCTTGGCCAGGTCCCTCTTATTATATAGCTTTCAATTAAAGTCACCTTCTCAGAAAGTTCGCCACTTCCTGTAACGTAGCCCTAGGTTGCCTGTTTTAACTTTACATGGCACCGACACACACACACACTCTGTTTCTTTCTGGTTTTCCCTCTGTGTGCCTGTGTCTGCTGCAGGATGGGGGAGGCCAGATAGAACTCAGGGCTCACATTGCCTGTGGCCTAGCATCCTGCTGGGCCTCACCTCCAGCACGTCAATGCTCTCCTTCACCTGGATCTTGGCTGTCTTGAGATTCTCCCGAAGTAGCTTGTAGTAGGTTGATGGTACAGTCAGGAACTCCATGCCTCTCTCTTGCAAGTTGCGAATCTGTCGCAAAGCAGGTTGAGGTCAGCCTCTGTGTTTCCAGGCTCAATGTCCCTAAGCCAGGTGGAGCTGCTGGGCCATGAGGAGGCAGGATCCCTATCTTTGCTCTCCTGAGTGCCAAGATGCCATCACTCCTGCTCGGGGACCTTCTTGGAGATTTCCACGGGCTTCTGTCCTTCCAACCCTTTGCATTCTCAAAAGTCTCCTTCCCTATGTGACCTTCCTTGACCACCCACTTTAAGGGTGAAAACCCCCCCCTTGTTTCCCCACATCCCACCTGGATTCTTCCACACCAACTATTTATTTAATTTGCTTTTTGACTCCATAAGAGCAGAAACTGTTACTAATGTGTCCCACATACCTAAAATAGCACCTAGCACATGGCAGAGCCTCAACAGGCATGATACAAATGAAGTTCCACAGGATTGGATGGGACAGTCCAGGCTCTTTCCCTTAAGGCTTAGGCAGGACTAGCCTCCCCAAGGTGTGGAGTCACAGACACAGGGTGCTTGATTTGGAGGAAAGGACAAGTCTCATCTTATAGAATAACATCCTCATTTTCGAGGTGAGGCAGCTGAATCCCGGAAGGCTGCTGAGTGCCCCAGAGACAAATGGCAAGGGACTTACAGATCTGGGAGCAGGATGCAGTCTTCCTTATCCTCTAGCATCTGCCACTTCAAAGCCCAGAATGTTCTAGAGACATCAAACTCTTCCATGTGAGGTGGGTAAGGATTACTTGCACAGGTGTGGAGAGCCACTTTGAATGACCACGCATTCCAGTTCTAAAGCACGTGGCTCTGACCAATCACTACATTTCATAGTGTCTTGGGCCTTGTCCCAGTTCAGATAGCAAAGCAGGTCTTCAGGTGTAGGCATACTGCTGAGGTTGAATTATACTCACCTGCCCCTTGTAATTCTACACTTTCTGATCTTTTTGGAGTGGAACTTTCTAAGAACAGTGCTCCCCCAAATAAAAGCTCACTTCCCAACATGCTCTCTCTCTCTCTCATCAGCCTCTCCTGACTTTCTCTTGCTCTCCCTTCTGGAGCCAAAGGCCCAGAGCCTGGGGAAGCCATCCTGAAGCTTGTGTAAATGTAAATTGTGTCTGTGTTTTATTTTGCTTCACCACAAATTCACACGTACACACCTAGGTCAGCTGCCCACACTGGACGAGGGTGGCAACAGGAGTTGCAGGTACCACGCAGGGAACCCTGTCAGCCCTCTAGGATGGAGAAGGGGACTCCAGATTGCCACTGCCCCCTCCACTCCCATTCTGCAGAAACCATCCCTGGAGTTGAAGGAAGGGGGCTTAAGACCAGGGATGTTGTTCTAACCGCTGTGATGATGTCCTGGGTCTTGAGACCGACGTGCTGGACTCCAGCTCCCCCATTATAGTCCACATATTCCTGGGAAAGGCAAACAGGAGGCCCCTGTCATTGCTTCCGTTCCCCACCCCCCTGCCCTGCCCTGCCCTGCAGGAGGCCTCAAGCCTCTTCCCTCCTCTCTCCTTCCCCAGCCAGGCAGGGCCCCACCTGGATAGAGGACTTCTTCCTGCCCATTGCGGGCTCATTAATGGGCATCTTGATGGTCTCCTCATAGTTGGTCACCACAATGGAGCGCAGAGAGCTGTACTCTGTGTGCACTTGTGTGTCATCCACAGACCAGAAGCGGTGGAACTGTAGGTTCCTCAGGTACCTGCATGTGGCAGGCAGAACACATCTGCTCTGAGTTCTGGCCTGGGACTGGCTTCCCGTGCTCCCACTTCTGCCCTCCAGAACATGTCCCCACAGGGGCTCCAGAAGGGAGATGACAATCACATCATACATGCTATAGGTCTTTACCCTTGTTGTGACAGTTTTCCTCAAGGTGGAAATAAAGTGTCTCATATCAGAAGGAGGCCATGCTGAGGCAGGGGGACTGGGTGGTGCAGGGGGCTCCTGTGCCTCCTGCTGGCCTTTAACTGCTAGTGCGATGGTATTAGGGAACCTTGAGTGGTGATTAGGTCACCCAGGGCTCTGCCTCAGGAGTATGTTAATGTTATGGTCAGAGCCAGTCAGTTCCCATGATTGGGTTTGTTCTAAAGGGAACTCAGGTCTCTGGTCTGTCCCCACTTCCCACTGTGGGAGGCCAGCAGGAAGAAGACTAAGTCAGGTAGAGGCATCTGCCCCCCATGCTAACTGGAAGGGACACCCTTGCAGTTCCTCATGGGGGGGGGATGTGGATTGCAGTAGGCCCTGAACTCCTCGTTCTTCAGGGGACAATGTATGGAGAATAAATGAAGGGCTGGCCCCAGATTCACCTCCCACCCACCTGAGCTCCTTTCCACCTGGTACAAGGACTAGGTCCAGGGCCCTTGTGGGGGAGGGACAGGGCTCACCATTCTGAGGCAGATAACATCTCCTGATCAGGCTGATTTCCTACAACATGATCGATGATCTCGAGACCACACTTGGGCCTAGGAAAAGGACAGCACTGAGGGGCAAGGAGAAGGCTGCCCTCCAAATCTCACCAATCCCTCTGTCTCCCACATAATAGCCACAGCACCCACCTACGCAGCTCTTACAGGGGGCCAAAGCGCTTAATTAACTCATTAGTGCAACCCCTACTTTATAGATGAAGACCCAGGGCCATCGAAAACTGCAGCGCCCTGTCCAAGGTCCACTGGTTGAGGAGGGAGGAGGATGGGATGGGACCTGGGGCCCTCAGGTGTTGGGGCCCGTTTGCTCTGTGCCCTCAGAGGGCTCCAGCAGCCACCAGGAGCTTGGTCCCATCACAAAAGCCCAGTCCACATGGAGGAGGGGGACAGGCTCTCCACCCGCCTCAGGGCTTTCCACCC